AGCACGGTGCTTCAAAAATACTTCATGCAGAAACAAGAGGGGAGAATCTGAGCTGTCTTTCCATTACCCTTGTTTTTTTCTGTTACAGTGTAAGATTCTCTTAATTTGAGGCTAGCTCAAGTTGATGGGTGCTTATAGCTGTCTTGCCAGCTGGATGACCCTGAAAATCCCAATGCTATTCCTCTTACTGATGTGCAGCAACAGTACCAAATTTTCTGCTTTAGTTTGTTTCTCTTTCTTTACATAGCGATGGCTGAAATTAATTCTGAGAGTCAGGAGAGGAGAAGGTTAGGGTTTTTGAGAGATGAGCTTGATTGTAATAAGATTTAAGGGTAAAGGGTAAACCTTGAAGTGGTTTACCAGTGAGTTCACTCAGTGTTTCAGCTTTTTAGGTTTTTGAACTTGTTCCCTAGCTAAAATCTTGGTAGTTTGAAATGCTGTCTGAAAAAGTTCAATTAAAAATACTAAATACGTTCATTTTCTGAGAGCAAGACAGAAACAGCCATGTAGCTCTGCTGCTCCTGCATTCAGTTACTTTCCCGTGATCCTTTGTTTGTGAGTTATTGTGTAATTGTTGTATACCCTGAGCTCTGGCTTCCATACTGGTGTAATTTTTAACTCCAAATAGTTCTTCATGACAGGAAAATCTATTCTACACACTTGTGTTACTAGTGCATGGTTTTGGTCTATGCTGGGAGTTTAGATTACTGTACTAACTTCAAAATTCTTAGCTAGAAGCTGATTTTATATTCAGCATTGTAGAAAGGTCTGTGCATGTCGTATCTTGGTGGGTCAGCAATTTTTGCCAAATCACCACATAGCAAATGGTATTGCTTTTGTTTACTCTGATTTAATGGAGTTTTGTGGCTATTTTGCAACCTGTTTGCAAACCAAACCCCAGGTTTTTTTGTTTGCTGTTTTGCCCCACAGGCTAGCTCTGCAATAGTGGTGTATGTGGGAAGATGTGTCTGTTGAATGATTTCAAGTTTCATACATTTGTAAGGCATGCATTCATGCAACTCCAATGTAAGTGAATTGTAAGCTGAAAAGTGAGAGAGTGAGCTCCATTTCTGTACATTTATATCTCCTAGGGAGGGATATCAGCAACTTCTGCTGAACATCTTTATATGGTAGAGCATAATTTTTAAAATCCACATTACAAGCCAGAAATCAGATGGAGTGTTCAGCTGCTTGAATACATAGTTCAGTGTTAAAATAGATGTTTTCAATTCTTCCATATTATCTAAGCTTTCATGAGCTTCTTGTAGAGTATGTCAAATTTGTAAGTGGCTGCAGATCCATCAGTTGCCTCACATGTCATCAATTCTTACCAAGCTGAATAGGGTTGATCTAGTTGACAGGATGGTAGTACCTGAGTTACCAATTTGCCACATTCTTCATCGGGTTTGCTCTGATTAGTGGAGGTGGATGGGTGGGTCAGGTTCAGTAGATGCCTCTGCCTCTACTTGATTCTCAGTTCTTTTGAAAGTTACCCTCGGGCAATTCAAGCTGGGCTGTGACAGCCAGTTCTTGATTCAAATTAACATTCAAGCAGCTAAGGAAAAGCAGTATTATCCTCAGCTACATTTAACACAACATTCAGCTATTCTTTATTTATTAGATGTTGAAAGATAATAATAATTATTTTTCTACAAATAATAATTGATTTATTTTTAGCCTTTCTTACGCTTGCAACCAGAGGAACAGAACACTTGCTCCAACCAGCCAACGTGTTAGATCCTGCCTGGCGGCTTGGGCCCTGCACACAGTGGTTGCAGCTCCAGGGTATCAGATAGTTGTTCCTGTGTCCCTTTTCTAAACATTATTTATTACTGTATTTGGTCATCAGTGTGGGCTGCTGATGGTCTCCACTAATCTTCTAGTCTCACACTGATCACCTTAACTGTCTCTGGGGCTCTTCCTGACCTTCTGGTTGTCTTCCCCAGATATACATCAAGAAGTGTGGAGGTTTTTTGGCAAAGAGAATGACTTCTTTGAATGTCTGGCAGGTCAGCAGCCTCCCACCTGCTGGCCTCTGATTTTTCCAGCCTCTAGTACTCCATACTTTTTCAGGTGACTGAAAAGTGTCACCGACTCCAAATGGAAGATGAAGGAAGCATCCTATGCAATGCCCTGCCCTACTGGTTATTGCTTATTTTAGCATGGATGTGCACATGGCCACAAACAAATATACAGGTTAAATCCCAGTAGTTATGTGCCTTGGTAATTTGATGTGTAATATCCATACGTACAATCAGTACAAAAATGATAAAAATTTGAGCTGTCAGTTGTCAGATTTATTTCACACTTTTTGATATATCAAGCAGCTAAGACCAATGGATTTTCTTATGTCATCAAAATACAAGATTCCATGGTTGACTTTTCTTTTTGTAAAAAGACAGATGAGAGCAATGTTAGGGAAGTCGTGGGTGATCAGGTCTGCCTCTTCTGTCAGTGGGTGAAAATACTGCTGAAGTCTTTAGTTTCCTTTCATAACTTGTCTGCTGATGAGCACACATTCTTGAAAGTTTCATTGCTGCTTTTTTGACATTGTATAGCTCTTAAAGCTTTATATGGCAGAAATAAAAGTGATAGACCATGTAAGCAATTGAGGGTCTTGTGTGCATTTAGAAGACACATTTAACACAAATGTACAAAAGAAATGATACCTTTCAAAGCTATCAGAAGAACGATTCAAATAGATTAAATAGTTGCTCGTTCTCCACATGTGGAAAACATCTAGCAATGTGGTAAATAATTTTTGGAAGGAGGGAAACAAAGGATTAAGTCTGGCATATAGGTAATGAAATATTTTCTTTCTAAAAAAGCGTTTCTAGAAAGTGCTCACTTTTTTGTCAGGAAGCCTTCATCTCTTGCTCTTTCTAGTTCAGCAAGCACAAAATGATAGAATTGCAAGCATAGTTCTTATTTTAAGTGTTTTGGCTTTCTGACTATACATGTATGTGATGTGTCTCCTGAATTAAAATCTCAGTATTTATAAACAGTACTTGTAACTAACAAAATAAGAAGTGGGCATCTGTGTTACAACTTTCTCATTCTGATACAATTTTCAAAGTATTTTTCCTGAGTACCCAGGTGTCTCCTCACTCTAAGACTGGGAAATAAAATTCTGGGACTGCGAACTATAGATTTCATTTTTATTTCATTGTGGTCACATGTGATGTGTTCCAGCTTTATATTGCTGTAAATAAATAAGTATAATCTTGAAATTATTCGCTGAGTCAGTGAGTTTGCTGAGAAGAAACAGTTGATATAGTTTTGGCTTGAGGGAAATTTTGGTTTTGCTTCTGACTTAAGAGTTAAGAATGAAAATGCCTAGTTGAGCATATAACTAACAGAAAGCTTGAGTCAGAAGTGTGGTGACGCAGCTGTTGTTTAATAATTTACCAGAGTAAGTCATCACATTGGACACAATCATTGTTATTGTTAAACTCAGATTTCATGGTTACTTGCGGGTGAAATGACTTTTAGCTTGTCCCAGCTTTAACCTCTCAAAAATTTTACTTTCAAATAAGTAGATTAATGTGGAAGCAAAACACTTGGATGCCCATTACTCTAAGATGCCAAGTTCCTTCATTTCTTAGATTGCATGAGGACATGTCATGGAACATACAACCATCCCTTCCCAGTCCCTCGATTCTAACACTTATAACAACTCCCATGGTCCCTCACCATAACGATTCCCATGGTCTGGTGGCTCAGGAAGGTTATTTGCAGAGGTGCCAGACATCAGTGTAGAGGAGTAAATAATACTGAATAACAGTAGGCATGGGTGATTGGATGATTATTCCTTTTTGGTCAGGTATGGTTTGGGGGGTTTTGTCTTGATATCCCCTAATATGTTTCTGAACAGTGCTGCTTGTGGTTGCATTGTGCCTCTCCAGAAAACCTTCCATGTTGTATCATAAACCGAAGGAGTTATGCAGTTGGAGTAGGTCAGCCCCTCAAAATGTGGGGAGAAGACCTTTTGGATAAAGAACTTGGTGAGGGTCAGATCTTTTAATTTATTACTGATGCATTGTGCACACTCTGAAAAACTGGACATTATTAACCCAATAGTCTTTTAACATTAGTTCTTTCATAGGTAGCAGTTGCAGTGTTCAGTCCTGAAAATCCTATAACTAACTGGAAAGCAGTCCAGTGTAGGAAAAGAGTGGTAAAGAAAGTTAATTGTGAATTTGGTGACTATTCTGTGAGGAATGGTCTGGGGTCCTGCAGTAGCAGCCTTTGCACTGATAGTCTGAGCCACTTCCAAAAACAAGGGAAAAATTAGCCCCCAGGAAAAGCTGCACCACATTGCATGTCCTTTGTGACACTGTCAGTGAGGCAGTGCTGCTAGCTGAGTCATTGCCCCTGGTCTCACGGTCAAGCTAGTGCTACCAAGATAGTAACTGACAGCTGGAAAAGCAGCTTCTGTTGGGGGAATTGCTGGTTTGTTTTTCTCTGGGCCTTGGTTTCTAAGTTTGTAATGAAGGTCCTAGGTTTTTGCTTTGCTAGAACAAACCTGCTTATCTTTCACTTTTTAGATTTATCTAGTGTCTGAATCAGTTCACGTTAGGCTGGCGAGCGCTCGGTTTATTGCTTTTTTGGAACTAATAGGTTCATGCAAGGTAATGTGTGTGCAGGCAGACTTCCAAAAGAACTTGAGAGGAGGCTGGAAACCCCAATGATTATGCTATGTATCCTGCCAGGCTTGTCGGGTCAGTGCAAGGGCTGATGTCTCCTGATCAGTACACTCTGATAAGAGCACATGCTGGATAAACAGTGTGCTGCTGGGAGAACATCCCTGATCGTGATGCTACTTTATTAAAGTCAGGAGAAAGTGAATTCCCTCCCACTGCACATTCCTATTCTTCATAGCATGTGGTTTACAAGGGTTCTCTTAGGAAGAGCAGCAAAAGAAATTCCTTCAAAACATCAATTGGTGCCAAAGATTAACGTCTTGCTCAAAGCATTTTTATTCTGTGTTGCTGTTGTAGGTTAGGATGGTTGTTCAGTTGGCTTCCTGCCTGGTGTCCCACATCACTGCCACACCTTAAAGAGGCTGAGGACAAAATGCTGAAATGTAAGTCTTTGTGTTTTAATAGAGATAGCTAGATTTTCTATAAATTTACATTAAATATATTCAAAGAAGTTTTTCAATATGACTTTCACACTGTGATGAAATAAACAGGTTTAAAATTAGATTTTCATTGTTCCCTTATATAGATATTTGATTGAACGCTCTCTCCTTTGAAAGGGAGCTCCTATTTGAAACAGTGTTTTCCATAGAGTGTACTTCATATTTTGTCAGGCTTGAGTAGCAACATGATTTTTCCCCACTTTTTCTTCAGGTATTGCCAGCACATACAATAAACGATACGTGTATATATCTAATGGAAACAAAATATGGACACTGACGTTCTCTCCAGACCTCTCAAGTAAAACTCCACTTGTTCTCCTGCATGGGTTTGGAGGAGGTGTTGGACTGTGGGCTCTCAATTTTGAAGATCTCTGTGAGAACAGGACCGTGCATGCTTTCGACCTCTTGGGATTTGGACGTAGCAGCAGACCACACTTTGACACTGATGCTCGGGAAGCAGAAAATCAGTTTGTGGAATCCATAGAAGAATGGAGAAAGGAGGTGGGGTTAGAAAGAATGATCTTACTTGGACACAACCTAGGTGGATTTCTGGCTGCTGCTTACTCATTAAAATACCCATCAAGGTATGTGAAAATAAAGGAATGAAAGAATTCCTTTTCTGTATTTGACTAGTGATTTTAACACAGATTTTATTTCATCAGGCTCTTTATAGATCATCTTTATGTAAATGACTTTGCTGATTTAAAGAAACTTGGTACTGAATTCTAAGTGCAGAGTATTAGTTGTATGCTTTGTTTCCAGGTGACCAGAAATAGGTAGATAGGGTAAATATGATTTTCTGTGTACTTTTTTTGTACTTCTTTACTTTTTCTCACTATCCCCCTGCCATGTTATAAGGTGAAATAGCAATGAATATATTTATGGGTGAATATTTTGTGACATCTCTGATCAAATATTATTTTCTGAAAGGAAAATAGGCCTGTTTCTGCCAAACTTCCCACTACTATGGATAATACTGAGACTTGTGAATGTAATTCCCCTAGGTAATTTATGCCTATATGCTTGCAGTCAGTCTGGTGCCAGCATGATGATGTAAAAATTGTTTTAGTGACTGTTTGTCTGTGTGCCACTTCATATTTCTTCTTTGCAAAACAACCCAGGTTGCAGCAGTTCTGTGTATTTCATCAGCATTTTCTGCACCACATTGTGGCCAACAGTCAATACATTTCCTCCCAGCCCCTTAAAGTAGTAATTTCTCTTTTTATATAGTCTAGTTACATATCCCCTGGTGAGCTGTGATCCCACCAACTGAGGCAATTCTGTATCAAAAAAGGACGACGCCTTTGTTGGGATACACATAGTGGACCCCATGAAAAACTGTAAATATAAACGTAGCTTTCCACATCATATGGCATATTCTGTATTATACAAAACATTTATATTCACATCAAGTTTTGCCATTTCTTTATTTCTCATTTGGGTATTTTTAAAGTAATTTCAGGGATCATTTTTTCCTAAAACACTTGGTCTTTTTCTTTCTAAGTGAACAACAGCTTGCACAAGTGGCTGGAAATGATGTGTGAAAGTAGAAGTGTGTCTAAATCCAGAACTGCAATGAAGAAATGGCAGTCCTCTGCTTTAGGGGTGTAAACTTATTATCCTTTTGGGTATAAAACAACTTTTTGCTAACTGTAGTTATTTTTTGTTTAGGGATCACTTGAAAGTTCCTTACCTGTTTTTTCCAAAGGATCTATAAATGTACCTGTCCTATCCTGGTAGGATGGGATATTGTTCCTGCCCACTGCTGTCCAAAGGATCTATAAATGTCACTATCCTATCCTGGTAGGATGGGATATTGTTCCTGCCCACTGCTGACTTACATCAAAAGTGATGCTTTGTTTTTGTGCCAGCTGTGCTTGAGTTGGGGTTAATTAATTTGGGGGTGTTTCAGTTTGTGCTCTCACGTTACTAGTGTTTCTCTGAAATTAAACTAACACCATCAAATTAGCAAATTGACTGATGGGGTCCAAAGACAGAATTGAATCAAGTGATAAATGCAGCACAGTTTTCAACCAGGTTATCTAACAATGCATTAGAGGCTTAAGGGATTCTGGATGCATATTGTTAGGAAAGTAGATCTGTTTCTTCAAGCTTAGATGATCCGTTAATTTTCTGTACTGTACCAGAGTTGTTCATGGAATATCTGAGTTTACTAATCCAAAAAGATTCCCATTTAGAATGTTCCTAAGTAGTGGTGGGCCATGATTTTCAAATACTGCAACTTGTGGACTGTTACCTTTGGAATGAATCTCATGGTCAACTTCCCTTTATCCTGGGTTATGTTTTAGGATTGATTAGCAAAAGGAGAAATACCAAATATGAAGGGAAGTATGAAGAAAGGAAACATGAAACAAAGCTTACTCTGGTTTTATTCATGTGTTTGTTGTGGTATATTTAATGCCATAGTTTGTGCACAGAATGTGTGGCTGTCCTGAATGGCTCCTCATTGCTTGTGCTCCTTTGCCTCTAATTTCTCCTTGGTTTGTACAGTTAGATTCTACCCTGTCCTCTCTTAATGTTGTTTGCTGCAGTGTGCAAATATGGTCATAGCTGAGCCAACAGGCAAGAAACATAATTGTGAGGTTTATCTTTTCCAACCCCTTATCCCAAGCACAGGTTTTTGGTTTCCCAACTGATTATACTCCAGAAATAGCCTTTGGAATCACTTCTGACATCGTTTTAGGCACTAAGAATTCTTCTGTGTTAATATCTAATCTCATAGCTTTGAAAGAGAAGGAAGTCGTGAAGAAGGAAGTAAATATCCTAGAACCATAGACTGATTTAGGTTAGAAAAGACCT